TATATAATTGGAGGGCTTTGGGAGTTCACCGTGGGTTTGATGGTCATCCATCAGCAGAAAACGACTTTTTCTCTAGTCAGAGAGGTTACAGACTATGTGGCTTATATAGGGGCCAAATGTAGCTAGAGAAGAAATCAGGCAGCCCGTAATATGTGACACGCTATGCGATCGTGTCACAACGTAAACAAGCTATGACGTTATTCTTTCCAAATAAAATGTTTTTTGTTGTGGTCAAATTATTATTATTAAAGTTTTGTTTCCGGGTCACCAGTCATTGGCCAGTGGCTCTGACAAATATTTCCTCTGGCTAAATCGAGTTGATATAGTGTAACATCCTTTTTAATCAAATTTCTCCCTGCTTGAGGAATGAGCCATAATATTTAGCTTTTTCCGGATGTGGTACATTTTTTACGGCTACTGGCTCTGTGATGAAGTGGGAAAGTGCTGACTGTTCTGGTTTTATGAAGTGTCATATGTGGCGCATTTATTTCCGTACGGTTGTAAAGTTGAGAAAAATCATTTTGTTCAGGAAACCTTTCCTATCTGACTGCAGATGCAGAATAGCATGGCGAGTCGACTCTGGCTGGCTTGGAAGGCTTAATCCCGGTCTAAAAAAGCACCCTTAGATACGGATTTGATTATGTCGGGTGTGCATTAAATAACTTCTGTAAAAAGGAATCGAAATCACCTAATGCAATTAGAGAAAATATTACTATGGCAATTGAAGACCTGATCACGTTGTTTTTCATTTGCCGTGGAAATGCCATCTCTTTTCACGTTGCGGTCGTTTGACATATAAATATAGCATTTGAATGACTTTAATATCCTCCTAATCAATGACCGGTGATCTTTCCAGGTCCTCGATTCAATATAGGAAGGGTCATCTGCGCTCCAGCTTTATAAACACAATAAAGGTAAATGATTACTCTCTGCTGGTGTCCAGAAATACGGCCGATAATGAAGAGAAATGGAGGAGGTTGAGGAGAAGCCTGTCATGTGTCATTGGGGCGACTCAGAGTCCAGAGATTAATCACAAAACAGGGGCTCTGTGGCCGAGATGTGGTCAACCCTGATCAATAAACCCCGCCGCTTACATACACACACACACAGGCACACACACACATACACACAGTCTTGCATCTAGGAACACTTGTGGTAAAAACAGGCCTGCACGTACAGTCACACTTGCATCTAATAATAATTTATAATTTAAATAGCGCTTTTCTAGGCACTCAAAGCGCTTTACATGGATGGGGGAATCAACCACCACCAATGTGCAGCATCCACCTGGATGATGTGACTGCAGCCATATTACGGCAGAACGCACACCACACACCAGCTTACTGGTGGAGAGGAGACGAAGCCATTTAGTATATATATATTGGGATGATTAGGTGGCCATGATGGACAGAAGACATGGGGCAAGTTTGGCCAGGATGCCGGTGTTACACCCCTAATGACCACAGAGAGTCAAGGCCTCGGTTTAACATCTCATCCGAATGACGGGGGCGTTAGGACACACACAGACCAGAGCGCAGCCCCTACTGGCCTCACTATCACCTCTTCCAGCAGCAACCTGGTTTTTACATGAGGTCTCCCATCCGGGTTCTGACCACACACAGCCCTGCTTAGCTTCAGTGGGCAACCAGTCTTGGGCTATAGGGGGATATGGCTGCTGGCAACTTGGAACACTTGTGGTAAAAATAAGCTTGCACGTACACAAACTCCCATTCCTCCCTCCCTCACAACACATACCGACCAAACATAACACACACACATTTTAAACTTAAAACGGTGAGATAAATGGATGATTTACTTTGTGTATTGATTATCCGCTTTTGTTCGCTTTTCCGATGCCTCACTCGACGAGAAGACCACAGATCTGTATTATAACCCAATACATCACCAAAGCATCTGTCTCCGTATCAGTGTAATCTAATGGGACACAAGATCTTCTGGAAGACCACAAACACATAGCTGACACGACTGCAGACAGCAGCTAACCCACCTGACTAAATCATCTGTGCCCAACATAACTCGGAAATTCAAAAGAACTATTCCGGTCATATTTAGCAGGGGACCAGAAATGGGACTTTTTGACTCCGTGTACAAGAGAGGACTTAATGTAATACCAGTGCGTTAAAATAGAAGGCAGGTTGCTGCTGCTCTCGTGTGAGGCCCGGGGCTCTGTTTGCGGTCACTAATGGGCATCCGAAAATTACAGGCGGCGGAATCGCGCCCCGCGGGGCGACTGGCCTTCTCAGTAGAGCGGAGCACTTAGACAGCAGCCTGTGTCTGGAAGCTCACTGGAGGAGGAGGCAGGGAAGGAGGGGGAGGGTGGAGGGCGAGAGGTGGGATACTCAATGTCACGGCCTAGCCGTGTAATTAAAGAAACCCTATTCCGTATCTACAGCTAAGTGAGTCTTGGCTCCCCCCTCCTTCCGGAACCCTAAGTCACCCCTGTGGGCATCTGATGTGTGTCGGGCCCCCGGTGGGGACGTGGGCTGATAGGTGTACCAGGCCTGTACGCTGGGGAGTCTGCTCCAAGCAGCCGGTAGGCTTTCCTTCAGCCTCCTCCACTCTCCTCTGCCCCGAATGGAAGCGGAAGATCGGCCGGTGGGAGAGGGCGGAGGCAACGAAGCCACAGACAGCCGACACAGCAAATAGTACCGCTCCCGTGCCGTGTCAATGTACGGAAACATTCAAAAGGGAGAAAGAGAAAATGCGAATATCCGTTTTTTTGGTATTTTTTTTTACAAGTTCTAAAATAGATTTGGCCCAAAGTTAGAAGATTTCCTTAACCTTAATCCCTGTCATTTGAGGTAAATAAAAGCAGCAGTGCCCTCGTGATCAGCCAGTTCCCTCATCTGTCTCGTACGCGGCAGCATAATTATTTAAATGAGAAATGTGCCGCTGTCTGTTGATGGGCAACAGTCTTATTTTCCGCTTCAGTCAACAGTGAACATTTGTATTTGTAAATGTGGCGACGGTGGTTTGTGCAGAGGTCGTTACGTAAGGCAATTTTCTGCCTTCTTAAGAGCCAGATCTCCTGTGCATTAATGAGATTTCCCCTCAACTACTGAGGTTGCCTGACTACCCAGAAGGCCCCACAGCTAGCTATTGACAACAGTGAGGGCGTTACTGTAAGACACGTGCCCTCAGTGAAAGATCACAGCGACACTTTTAACGGCCACATATTCATAACCATATTTACCTGATTAATTCAGAATAAATTTCAGCTACTAATATTTGCAGTATGACCACACTAGTAAGCCGCGAGTCGAGATCGCTGCTTTTCTATACGGTAAAGAACAGTTGAATTTAATGCCGATTTCACAGACTTAATATACGATTACAGAAATTTGATACCATCATATTGAGACCTAATGGGCTTGGGAATCAGGGGTTTATTTTTTAATGCTGGGGCCCATGTAATGTTGACTTAATACGCTGTGAAATTAGCAGTGGGCCGCATGAGAAAATTGAGCAGGCGCGTGCCTGATCTGAAAAATTAATTAGTCGACGCGCAACAGCCATTTAGTACACATGTTAATACGATGGAGACAGCCCCCCCCCCCTTAAAAAACGGAAATGCCGTGAAAGACAGTGACACAGGGTTTGAAGGGGCCTCAGCTGGAGACAAAAACGCTTTTGAGACGGACCTACAGGGGGGAGGAGGGAAGGAACGGTGGAGTGGGACAGAGATGGGAGTGCAGACAGACGAGCACCCTGAAAGCCTGTTGTGGTTGGCGGCTGCTGACCTTGGCGACGATGGGCTGTTGGGTTTTTCTCCACTGGCGAGAGGGGCTCTAATGAAGCTTGATTGCCAGGCACTACTGGGGGAGCCGACAGGGAGTCGGGAGTGGAGAGGAGGAGGACGGCGAAGGAGCGAGAGAGAAAGGATAGGGGGAGACGGGAGAGGGCTCAGGTAATTGCGGCACTTGTGGGTCCGAGGCCCCCGTGGTTCCCTGATGCCGGGGTTTGAACTGGGACGAGAGGGGAGAGAGGAGCAGAGAAAGAGAGAGAGGGACGTCTGCAGACGGAGAGCTGGTCTCTGGGCTGTAATTACCCCGGTGAGTTGAGCAAGATGGAGAAGAACGGACAGAACCAATGTGGAGCTCTGAGAAAGGTAGAAGGCTGCAGGAGGTGGGGGGCAGGAAGCGGACAGAGGAATGGAAGACAAGACAGGACGTGCTACAAGCCCTAAAAGACCCACCTAGGCTGTGACAAGGTCAGGGGCTGTTTAGTGATCACACACGACACATGCTGGAGCGTCGCATGGGGCTGCCAGACGTTGACATGAAGATAGGTCAAAACGATATAAGTCAGAACAATATAGGTCAGAGCAATATAGGTCAGAGCGATATAGGTCACAGCGTTATAGGTCAGAGCGATATAGGTCCGAGCGATATAGGTCCGAGCGATATAGGTCCGAGCGATATAGGTCAGAGCAAAATAGGTCAGTGTGATATAGTTCAGAGCGATATTGGTCAGAATGATATAGGTCAGAGCAAAATAGGTCAGAGCAATATAGGTCACAGCGATATAGGTCACAGCGATATAGGTCACAAAGTTATAGATCAGAGCGATATAGGCCACAACAATATAGTTCAGAGCGATATAGATCAGAACAATATAGGTTAGATCAGAGGGTCAAAGCGATATAGGTTAGAGCGATATAGTTCAGAGCGATATAGGTTAAAGTGATATAGGTTAGAGTGATATAGGTCAGAGCGAAATTGGTCAGAGCGATAGAGGTCAGAGCGATATAGGTTAGAGCGATATAGGTCAGAGCGATATAGATCAGAGCAATATAGGTCCGAGCGTTATAGGTCAGAGCGATATAGATCAGAGCAATATAGGTCCGAGCGATATAGGAAGATGCTACCGCACTTGACAGCGGCTAAAGAACAGGAGGACAGATTATTCATATTTGTTAATCTACTGAACCATCCCACCGTCTCATTTCCATAAAGGAAAGAGAAAGTGGCCGAACAAATGCGGCCGCTCAGTTGGTAGAGCATGGCGCTTGGAACGTCACGGTGGCGGCTTCAATTCCTACGGGCGCCAAAGCAAAAAGCCCACAAACGCCGCTACTGTGAACGCGAGTGCTAACTATTCTGGAATAGGAACGCCTGTAAATGATAACGACGCCTGGCAGGACGCCTGGGTATGACCTGTGTATGTCCGTGCTTTCGTGCGCGTTGGTGTGCCAGTGCATGTGGTTGTCAGTGAGTTACCTCCACTGGGCAGGAGCGTAGGGGTCACGGGGGCTCTGGCTCAGCCAATAGAACGCGTGAGGGTTGATGGGGTGGCCTAAAGCCTCCCGGGTGCCACGTATCAGTATGGAGCAGGCTCTCTGTGCCTCTCCCTGCCGGGGCCGATGTAACTCAGTGGAGTGGCAAATTACAGCAGACCTACAGCTGTAGCTCGACATGATTAATTTGATCAGTAATTTCTCCTGTTTTTCATTTTAATCGGCGCGACCATTCTGCTGTGGCAGGTCTTTCAGATCTAATTAAGATCAATTCCCGCGTAACAGACTTGGCGAACGCCTCGCACCCCGTCAAATCCCTGAGCGCTGCTGGGCGTGGAGGGAAAACCTGCGCCTCTAATCAATCAGCGTTCAGCAAATCCGTCCCGGCTTCGGCAATCAGCCTATTAACACACAATTTCGTAATCTCCCTCTTCGTCTATTTGTCATCATGGTGAAGGCTGTGGCTATCCGTGGACCTTGAGCCACTTCGTCTGAGGGGGTCTAAAGGATGACAGAGACCCGGTTTGTCTGTAGAATGTTGAAGAGGAAGACAACAACAGCAGCATTTCTTTTATAAAATTATCAGTCACTACCATTAACCAGGTTAGTGTACCAATAAAAACTGTAACAGACTGGAGAGGGAGACAGGTGGTCTGTAACTGACTGGAGGGGAAGACAGGAGGTCTGTAGCAGACTGGTGAGGGAGACAGGAGGTCTATAGCAGACGGGAGAGGGAGAAAGAAATGTCTGTAGCAGACTGGTGAGGGAGACAGTAAGTCTGTAGCAGACTGTAGGAAGACAGGAAGTCTGTAACAGACTGGAGTAGGAGACAGGAGGTCTGTAACAGACTGGAGGGGGAGACAGGAGGTCTGTAGCAGACTGGAGGGGGAGACAGGAGGTCTGTAGCAGACTGGAGGGGGAGACAGGAGGTCTGTAGCAGACTGGTGAGGGAGACATAAGGTCTGAAGCAGACTAGAGAGGGAGACAAGAGGTTTGTAACAGACTGGAGAGGGAGACAGGAGATCTGTAGCAGACTGGACAGGGATACATGAGGTCTGTAGCAGATGGGAGGGAGATAGGAAGTCTGTAGCAGACTGTAGGAAAACAGGAGGTGTGTAGCAGACTGGAAAAGGAGACAGGAGGTCTGTAGCAGATTGGAGGAAGACAGGAGGTCTGTAGCAGATTGGAGGAAAACAGGAGGTCTGTAACAGATTGGAGGAAGACAGGAGGTCTGTCTGAAGTGATGGATAAGAATGGCTCCCCGCCAGACAGCAGGGTTCAATGCCAACCCTCAACACCATGTCTCCTCTTCACGCTCTCTTTTTATTCCTCAATAAAAGCCTTGAAAAGAGAAAAATCCATATGAACGTGACTGTCTGCTCTTCTTAAAAACAAACATCCTGCTGAGCTTAAAATTAAATGGGAAAAACCACACCCATGACACACTGTCCTGAAAAGTGATCTTGCCTCTTCTAAACGTGACCACCAAACCCAATATAAATAAGGTTCATATTTAAAACAGATCACTGGAAGAGAGGAATGCAATGCATGTCCGTTTTAATTAGTTGGCGGTTGACCGGTTGCCACTCATCGAAAAAAAATGTGGATAGTCTGAGAGGAACCGTTAGTTGTTAGGCTACTGAACTGAAATATAAAGGGTGCATTGTGACAAAGCATCAGTGATGTATCTGGAAATCTACGTGGTAGATTTTTTAAGGCATGTTGGTTTGTAAAACTTCGAAGACCGGCTAGGTTCCAGTTAGCCTTTCCAGAATGAATAGTTTCTAGATAGCGTTGCAGATTTTCTATATTCTAGCTCGGCTCAATTAGACTAGCTACTCATTCGTCCACACAGAGGGAGATAATTAAGACAGTAATAGAATGTTATTGACTGTTTGTCTCTCTGACACGGCGTCTGGCTGTAAGAACTAATGAATGAGTGGCTCAGTGAGGCGACCGAACGAAGGGCTCTTTATCTGTACTGACATCCACATGTATACAACACATGCACACACACACACACACGTACACACATACACACACACACACACACACACACACACACACACACACACACACTGTGCTGTGTGTGGTCCAGGGGATGCAGAAGGGCCTCTCCCAGGATTGCAGCCTCTACGGATTAACCAAAGCGCTCCTCAATGAAAATCCAATCAGTGACCCCATGGGGTAGATGGACCGAGGGGCCTGAATCATATTGCAGCCTTGGGAGAGAGCTGAGGCCCAGGCCGAACTGCTCCAGCAGATAGAGAGGCTTTAACCCAAACGCTGACCTAATCCCTGTGTAATGCCACTGCCCAGTGAAAAGAAGTGAACAAAACAGGGAATAGGGTGCCAGTTGGGACTGTCCTCAGAGGGAACCTTCCAGGGTGTCATAGCGACGTCCTTCCTGACAACCCGGTCAGTGACTCACCAAGAAACTAAACCCCCCATACACCCTGTCAGTAATCTCATTGCATGAGGAAATATCTTAATGACCCCTGATCTGGCACTAATGAGGCCTCTTCTAGCCCACCGCAGAAGGACAGCGTATATTTGGGTCCATAGGTATTTGGAGAGGATGTTTTGCTCTGTACTGTGTCACATTGGGTTGGAAAAGCCCACACAGAGGGTACTAGTGTAGATGATTAGCTTTCATTTGATTGACTCTACATCAGGAAACCACGGTCCTTGTAGGAATTACAGCCCTTCATACACAACCCACCTCCATTTCAAGGGACTCAAATTAACATAACCATAAACACAGATCATTTGCATTGAATTGCCAGATGCTGAGTATCATTCATGCCTGTACAGCCGGCCAGCTTCAGTTCCTGTTTGTTTCGGGGTATTTTCACCCCCAGTCTTCCCCCAGTGAAATGCATGCTAAGTTGTTTGTACACTTTTTATCAGCATTTACATTTACTTTAATAAAGACAGGTGAGCCAGATCTATTGGCAGCCAGAGCCAAAACTCTACATCCACCACGTTTCACCAGATATGGTGGTAAGCTTTGCCTTATGAGCATTTATCCATTTCCACAGTTGATTTTAAAACGCCTACTGTTATGACACGTTAAAAGACAACAGCGACAGGCAACAGGTTGCAAATTCTCACCTGGATGCCCCTCTAGAATCCAGACATTTTGTAACCTTTTTTAGAGAGCGGGAGCACGACGTCCAGACACGTAGTCTAGAAAAAGGAGGCCATCATCCTTTCTAGATATAAGCCCTGATGGTGGCTGCTTCTGATTGGACCGTAGATGCATACTCACTGCCACCACATACAACTCACACTTCTTTTTCATTACGGCATCATGGCACAAGTGGCTGCTGGCCAGCATTTGGTGGGCACACGCATTGCCCCCTCCACCCCAGTGAGTCTCAGTAGGTCGCGACAGGGCCTTAGAGCGGCGTGAGAGCGCGCAGGGGGTTGGGAGACGGGGATGGGGGGGGACTGCCGGACAAATGGCCGTACTCGTCCCGGCCATAAAGAAGGGTATTGCGCTACAACCCAATAAGGGCCTGACGCTGATGAATGTGGCCAGGGAGAAGGAGGCGGCCCTGGCTGGGCTCCACCAGAAATGAAACCGCAGGGATATGAAACAGGTTATTATCGTCCCAACCTGACAGCCAGACGGACAGAAGGGCCGGGCGGAGATGGATGGAAAGACAAACTGACCGAAAAGGAGGTTGGATAAGGGAAGGGGGCAGCTAATGGCAAACACACAAAATGCCTGATAAATGTTGATGAGGGCCTTGGTAGATAAAATGATCTGTCGCAGATGGATGAGTGAAAAAAGTTAAAAGAAAATCAGTTTGGGGCGCTCTTATCAGCCCCCTCAGAGCATGATGATGACCTTGTCAATGAGATGCACATTGTAATGGCTTCAGGATGACGACGGAGCTGCCTGTTAGGAGTCAAACGCGGGGTCTTGATTTGTATCGAGGAGAGAACTGAGTGCTGTGACAGACGGGGCACTGGTGAGTAGTTATCGGAGCGGTGTTATCTCCAGGTTGCCCTCAGTTTCCCCACAACTGCCGCCACAATATAATAACCTCGCAATATTATCAACGCTGAGACAATTCAAGGAGTGGCTTTTTTAAAACAACAGTAGACATGATTTACTGACATGCCTACACAAGACGCATGTGATATTAACTCTGAAATATTAACGGGCTGGGGCAAGCTCACCTGAAGGGGCATTGGTGGGGTGACCGGCGAGGGAAGGCTGCGGGCCGGCGACTGGTTCTGCCTGAGAGGCGGAGACTGCGACGCTAGGCCAGAGCCGGTCATGGAGGTGGTGGAGGAGGCGGAGCCTGGGGACGGGACAGAAAGAGAAGACTGCTGCTGGTTGGGCGGGGTCACATGACCTCTCGAGGACAGCTGGTTGTGCGCGTGGCTGTGGGAGTGTTGATGCTGCTGCTGATGATGGTGGTGGTGGTGGTGCTGCTGTTGTTGTTGGTGGTGATGGTGCTGTTGTTGTTGTTGCTGGTGGTGCTGTTGCATCTGTTGGAGCTGCTGCAGGTGCTGGAGCTGGGAGTTCAGGGTCGAGGTAGCTGAAGGTGGAGGTGAGACAGAAGCAGAATGTCACGACGTTGTCACTGTTGTTATCAAATCTATTCAGAGATGATGAAAGTGAATTGTTAAACAGTGATGTTACAGTAATGAATACCAGCAGTTGGGCTACGAACGGTCACGCGTCCAGTAACATGGAGACCTCAACCATAAAAACCTTGACCATGAAGACCTCTACAGTGAAGACCTCTAGCATGGAGACCTCTAACATGGAGACCTCTAACATGGAGACCTCTA